CAGCACATATTATCACTTTGCTTATGCTTTAAAATACAGGATTTATACACTTCTGCACTACTGACGTTTGGGGCTGAACAGTTCCTCATTGTGTGGGAGCTGTCCTGTGCTTTGTAAGATGTGCAGCATCATCTCTGCCCTGTGCACTGCACTAGATGCCAGTAGTAGCACTCCCATCCCAAGTCATGGCAGCCAGAAATCCCTGCACATGTTGCCAGATGCTCCCCAAGGGGGTAAAAAGAAATCATCCTTAGTTGGGAACCACTGGTCTGATTTATCCTTAGGATAAATTTCTAGAAGTGGAATTGCTGGATCTAAGGTTATGTACATTTAAAATTTTGATGGCAGTCGCTAAATTGTTCTTTGTAAAGGTTAAACCCATTTTACACTCCAACCAGCAGTATTTGAGGATATTTTTTCATTCTCACCAGTACAGTGGTTTATCAGAATTTCTTTACCATCTCACTGTACTTTCAGTTTGAATTTCTCTGTTTTACGGCTAACCTTTTTATTGAACACTTACTGCTTGCTAGGCAAGTTGTGTTGTTTGGCCTGTGTATTTTGTGTCATACATTATAATGCCTTCCTCTCTAAGCCTTCTTGAAGTCTGGTACCTAGCGCTGACGACTAAGTTTCTTCTGATTCTAATGAAATGATAATATGTACCATTCATTGAGATCTAACATGTGACTGGCATTGTGCTTGGTGTGCTCTAAAAATATGTACATTCTTGTGTGATCTAAGCATGTATTAATAAAGTGGCCTTTCTTTTACCTTTTGGGTTGGCACAGGGCCTCTGTCTGCACATATTCTAGCAGTTATAGTCCCTGAGTTGGGATATGTCACAGAGAGCCGACTGAAAAGTATTTGATTCTGCAGTTAGGAGTGATAATAGTCCCAGTCCAATGATTGGGACGGAATTGGTGTAGATGCCTTGATTTAAATTAAGTTCTGTTCTGTTTTGTTCTCTTTTTTTTTTTTTTCTTTTCTTTTCCTTTTCCTTTTCCCTTTTCTTTCTTCTCTCTTTTCTCTTCTTTTCCTTTGTTTTCTTTTCTTTTCCAGGAGTCTATTTTCCTTGTCTACAGTCATCATAGTTTGAAATTACGACTTTTTGTGTGCTTGTTTCCGGATGGGCATATCTTTTCACCACTGAACAACAACTAACACATGGTGTACTGTCTGGCGCACACTGTGTGCCCAGTGAGTATTTGTTGAATGAATGAACTAGTCACTCCAAGAACTGAGGCCGTTAGGAGGCCTAAAGGCCCGGATTTGCCATTCCATGGGTTGAAGAGTTAGGTTAGCTTAGTGATGGGCTCTGTTGCCTTCCTGGAATGGAGGCAGCTTCCTTCCTAAAAGGCTCAGAACTAGCTGATTCTCTGGAATGTTTGGCCTGTTGGGGAACGTTGGCCCTGATGATTCTGGGTGAGTTTGGTTGGAACCCAGCTGTGGATGTTGAGAGAATAAGTGAATATTCCTGTGAATGAATGGCTTCCCCAGCTCACATTCTTAAGAGGTCATGCTTATATTTACTTGAGGCAAAGTCATAGCCTCTCGTAAATGAACGGTTATCTAGAAATTGTGGTTGGATTTAGTTCTGATGTGAACAGTTTTGATATTTCCACACATCAAAGTCTGTATTAAGGGGACCTTCAGCCACTAGTTCCCTCTGGCTTTAATGAGTTTTCAGTTTCCAAACACTACCGATTCGATAAACTCAGTTGGCTTGCTCTTTCCTCTACTTCTAAGAATTTGTGTGAGTATTGTTTAGTGTTGGCCTAATAACTTGTTCGGCCAGTTTGGTGTTCTCTGTCCTGGAGGCTGGCATTCAGCAAAAGGAACTCGGGGTAGGGTGTGGCGGGGTGGGATGGGGTGGGATGGGATGGGACTGGGAGAGCCAGCAGGGGGCCTCTGAGTGGAGGAAAGACCAGCAAGGTCATGAGTGCAAACTCTTCCCATAAGGGGCAGATGGTGAGTATTTTAGGGTCTGTAGGCCATGGTCTTTGTCAAATCTTCTTTGTTTTTTGCATCTGTTTAAAAGAGTCTAAGAATGTAAAAACTCATGAGCCTTTGTGAAAAAGACTGTAGCCAGATGTGGGCTATAATTGGCCAACCCCTGAACTAGGTGAAGAAATTGGTTTATTGCTACACGTGTGTACTGGTTTGGGGACATGAACCCAGAATAACCTTGGGAATTTTCAGTTGTGATCATTAGAGGAGTGATCTACACTCTGGCATGGGGGTCAAAGTGACCCTGGTGTCAGTCACCTTGGGTCTGTGGAACTCAGGGTAACCCTGACCAGTAGGACAGAGACCCTTGCTGCCTCTTTCCCACGGCAGTCCTGTCCACGGGGAGTGGGGAGACAGCAATGAAGGAGGAAAGGAGATGTTGTCCTGGATAGGCCTGAGGACTTTGGTAGCTCAGGTGCCTGAACTGCCTCTAGAACACGGTTAGAAAACTGGCGTGTATGAGTGTTTATGAAAATACAAGAGCATGTCTGTATTCTGAGAACACGACCAAATTCTAATACTGGAGTCCAGATCCTGATGGTTTTGTCTAATCACAAGAAGTTCTGTAGAGCAGTCTGGCTTGAAGGAAGTACTACTACTTTTTTTCTTTTTTTCTTTTTTTTTTTGAGACAGAGTCCTGTTCTGTCTCCCAGGCTGGAGTGCAGTGGCAGCGATTTCGGCTCGCTGCAACCTCTGCCTCCCTGGTCCAAGCAATTCTCCTGCCTCCTGAGTAGTTGAGATTACAGGCATGCTCCATGATGCTTAGCTAATTTTTGTATTTTTAGTAGCGATGGGGTTTCGCCATGTTGGCCAGGCAGGTCTCGAACTCCCAACCTCAGGTGATCCGCCTGCCTCAGCCTCCCAAAGTGGGCTTACAGGCGTGAGCCACCGCACCTGGCCAGTGCTACTTCATTTTAAAGCACGTAGTTTGGGAGATAGGAAGGAGTAGGGGTTACAGAGCAGGGTCCTGGAGATAGATGCTCTTGTCCTGCTTCCAACTCTCTGCAACCCTGGGTGACTTGACTCCCTTAATCTTCCCAGCCTCAGCGTCCTCACCTGTAGATCAGGATGACAATGACTCCACCGTACAGCCATCGTGAGGATTACGTGAGGGTGGTGTATGTGAAATGCTCCTTAGCGCAGTGCTTGGCATGTCGTAAGCACTCAGTCAATGTTGGCAATAGCAGTGACAATGTGAAAGTGGAAGGAAACGTAAGAAGTGGCCATCAAAACTAGGAACTAGGGTTCATGACTCAGCGCCACTGATTAGCATGTCCTTGTAGACTGGAGCATTTCGTCCTCAGACGTGTGAATGTCATGGAGTCGTACAGAGGAACTGGGTCTGCAACTACCTCTTTCAGCTTCCTGATGTGTAAAATGGAAATCATACAGATTGATGGGCTGGGGATAAACAAACGAGGTAACAAGGGAACGGCCTTGAGTTCTCTAGAACTGTAACAGGATGAGCCGCAGATAAGAACCTCTCAGACACTGAGTTGTAGAAGGAAAGGGCTTTATTCAGCTGGGAGCATCAGAGGACTCACGTCTCCAAAAACCGAGCTCCCCGAGTGAGCAATTCCTGTCCCTTTTGAGGGCTTACAACTCTAAGGGGGTCCACGTGAGAGCGTCTGATTGATTGAGCAAGCAGGGGGTACGTGACTGGGGGCTGCATGCACCGGTAATCAGAAGGGAACAGAACAGGACAGGGATTTTCACGATACTTTTCCATACAATGTCTGGAATCTATAGATAACATAAGCAGTTAGGTCAGGGGCTGATGTTTAACTACCAGGCCCAGAGCATGGAGCTGGGCTGTCTGTCTGTGGATTCCATTTCTGCCGTTTAGATTTTATACTTCTTCTTTCTTTGGAGGCAGAAATTGGGCATAAAGACAAGATGAGGGGTGGTCTCCTCTCTTAAAACATTGAGCAGATTTTAAGGCGAAGTCAGTACTTGTTAATTTGTTCAGTTTCTTGAACTTCTAAGTGTTGGGAACAGCCTGAGGGTGATTGGTGTGAAGCCAAAATGTTTGCCAGAGAGAGTTGATAGGATACTCCCAAGTTCAGGGATTTGGAATGTGTGATATAAAATTGGAATACTTTTGTGAGATATTTGAAATAGTGGAATTTCACAATGGGCGACCCGTGTGGGGAGAGGCTGGAGGAGGTTCATCTCTATATGGAAAATACGACAAGATCTTGCAAATTTAAAATGTATTTTCTTTTCCTCTGCAATTCCATTTCTAGGAATTTACCCCGAAAATATATTTTCTAAGCACATTTTGTGTACTAAGTCACGTATGTACCTGGTTATTCCTTACAACATTATTTATACAAAAAAAAAAAAAGGTAGAAATATTAGTGTTTAACCTTAAGAGACTGGTGAACTAAGTTGTGGCACATTCTTAAGTTGAAAACTGTGCACCTGCAGAGTGAGGGAACTCTACGTGTATTGATGGGACATTCTTCTGAGATGTGTTAACCTAAAAACAAAAACAAAAAGCAAGGTGAGGAATAATATGTGGTTGTTTCCCAGCCTGGGGGCCAGTGGTGATGGAGAACCATTGTGATTTCCTTGTTTAAGCACAGAATGTCTTGGGAAGAACACAAAGGTGGTTACAACCTTTGGCGGCACCTGTGCAGAACCACTCTGAATACCTGGGGGACAGGTAGTAAGGAGATGTACTTTCCATAGCACATGCTTTTTATCTTTCAAATGTGTCTCGTATACACGTATTTTCTATTCAGAAAGTTTGACCACAGGTCGTATCATTTGGGTTGAAAACTGAAACCTCTATGTTTCCCTCCCACATTCATGTCTGCCACCTGTTGGCTCTGCTTGGTCTCTTTGACCTTGATGACTTGAAAAGTGGGCATTGACCACACTGACAGTTTTAGGCTTACCCTGGAACAGTCCCCCTAGTCCCCAGCATATTGACATTTCTCCTCTTGATTTGTGTGACTGACAGTGTTTCTGTTTCCCTCCCCCAGCTTTGGCAGCATGTAAGCAGCTATTTGCCAAGAACCCAGGTCACCGCTAAGAAAGGGAGCCTTAGGGAGAAGAGTGTCCAGAGGAAACCAATGCCAGATGCGTCTGGAGTTACACTCAGCACTTGCATTATGAGACATTGTGTGCCAGCATCTCTTTCCTGCTGGCAAAGACTGTAGCTCTCCAGGTAGGAGGGTCCTGGAAGCTGTGAGCGCCAGGAGCCTCACCAGAGGAGGATGGGGCCAGATAATGAACTCTCTACAGTGAACATGGTTTTCAGCTTATGAAGGAATTTTAAGTAAAACAATTATTTAATTTCCACATATTCAAGTTCAAAAGCCTTCTGTGTAAAGTGCCAGTGATTACCCCTCCACAGAAGTTATCAGGATTTTTCTGGCACCAGGTTGAACTCTTCTTGGTACTTCTGGCAGTGACAGGGACAGATTTATCTGTTGAATGCTCTTGGGCAGGAAAACCATGTAAAACTTCTGGAAGCAGCATCAGGACAGCAGAGCAGAGCCCCTGCCCTCACTGCTCACTTGCACAGAAATTCCATCTGGACTCGGATGCTTTTACTGAAGACCCATCGAGCTTCATTCATCTTTAGAGTCCATCCGTTCTGGGGAGACCTGGCGTTTGCAGCTGCCTCCTGTGGCCGTGTTTTCCTGTCCTTCTCTTCCCAGGCCTTCTATTCAGGCGGTTGAGGGGTGTGGACTTTGGAATGGGGTTTGCTGTTCTTCGGGAACTTGCTTCCTTTCCCTGGCTGGTGCTGTCGGGAAGGACCATCTGAAGGCTACAGTTTGCTCTTGGGGAGGCAGGTGCTGGCCTGGCCTGGATCTTCCACCATGTTCCTGTTGCTGCCTTTTGATAGCCTGATTGTCAACCTTCTGGGCATCTCCCTGACTGTCCTCTTCACCCTCCTCCTCGTTTTCATCATAGTGCCAGCCATTTTTGGAGTCTCCTTTGGTATCCGCAAACTCTACATGAAAACTTTGTTAAAAATCTTTGCGGTAAGTTGTGCTGTTACAAAAGGTTGCTTCACAGAGGAGGGTAGAAGTGCATTTAGCAAAAAGAGTTATTCTTACAGGCCTGTTGTTATCTCTTTATTAGACAGGGAGAAAGTTGGGAGAATGGGAAGTGGCTTTTTGAGTAAGAAGAATAACTAAACGTGTACTTTTGAAAGGTACTTGTATGTTTGATTTATGCTGAGCTGAGGGACCTATGCCATGACTGCACATGTCGCCTGTTTATTTCAAAGAGAATGGGGCTTAGAATTAAAGAAAAGCACTGCCAGTCTCTGTCTCTTCTTACATAACTGATGCCATAGCTCAAAGCTGCGGCAGGCATATTCCCTCACTTGAGAAGCATGGGAAAGCCTCTTCTCTTCCAGTCATTTATTCTAAGTAGGTCCTTGCATTTCAGACTAAAAGAATGGACAGAAAAGGGCATTGGAATTGTTTTATTTTCTTTAAAGGCGAAGGATACATTTCTAAACATATATCAGAACTTACCTGACCGTTGAATTATACCAAACTGGTCACATTGTAAGGAAATGGGTGAGAGGTGATGTTTTTTGGAAGTTGCTCTCTCCCATAAGACTTAAATACCTCTGCACAGATTTGGTGATTTAATTGTAATGTCTGTTTTTAGTAGTCACCAAATCTTTAGGGATTCATGTATAATTTGAGAAGTGCACTTACAGTAGTAAAAATAATACAACATTGTTTGTTCATATTGTATCTTTTTTTTTTCTTTTTTTTTGAGACAGGGTCTCACTCTGTCACCCAGGCCAGAATGCAGTGGCGCAATCACGGCTCACTGCAACTTCTGCCTCCCAGGTTCAAACAATTCACCTGCCTCAGCCTCCTGAGTAGCTGGGACTACAGGCACATGCCACCACACCTGGCTAATTTTTTTGTGTTTTTAGTGGAGACAGGGTTTCACCACGTTGCCCGTGCTGGTCTCGAACTCCTGACCCCTCAAGTGATCTGCCCATCTCAGCCTCCCAAAGTGCTGGGATTACAGGCCTGCACCACCGTTCCTGGCCCATATTGTATCTTCTGGTTTTGAGAGTAACTTTTATCATTTTTCTTTGATTCCTTATAATTCTGCGGTAGACGGGGCATTTTATTAACCTGCATTTTATTTATCTGCATTTTTATCAATGAAGAAAACGACTCAGATTAAGTGAGCGATATGAAATGTTACATTATAGTGGGAAATATTTTTATGTTTGTCATTGAATCTTGGGTTTTATCTTTTTTGGTACTTAGTATGTCTATAAGCATATGTTGTTTTTTTTTTTCACATTTAAGAAAACCAAGGGGAAATTGACAACATAAAGTTAATAATTTTAGAGTGAACAGTTCAGTAGCGTTTACTATATTCACATTGTTTTCTGTCCAGTTCACAACATTTTCATCAGTCCAAAGGAAACCCCACACTCGTTAAGCATTCACTCCCCATTCCTCCCTCTGCCAGCCCCTGGCAACCACAGTCTGCATTCTTCATAAAGATCACTAAAACTGGATACCTAATAGTTCATGCGGTACATATACCTGTGCTTTTGGCAGACCTAAGCAAGCCCTGGCTTACAGCTCCTTTCCCATGACTAGTTCTCCCGATATAAAGGAACTAGGAGAAAATATCTGTGTACCTGCCAAGTGATGAGGAATATGGAGAGGATATGGGTGAATCAATGTCGTTTCTATTCCCTTTCCTGGAAGCCCTAACTCAGTGCAGGTCCTGTTCATGCTGAGTCACAGAAGATCTTTGTGTGCAGAGAGCAGCATGTGACTGGAAGGGTTTTAGTCTGTTTGCTTAATGTTTGTGCTTCACATGAACCCTCTCCACAGTGGCGATGGTATCACTAAGAGCAGAATTCCCAGGAGTAGACTCTCAGCTGAGTTGAAAATGACCTGGAAGAGGGGAGAAGAGAAAGCCTGGATGTAAAGGAGAAAGATGAGAATAAATGATGTGAAAGGAGTTGATCAGGTCACGTTAGAGAAGATGAGACAGCTGTAATGTGATCTGTGTTAAACTCCAAGGTGGAACTTGTTGGTGGAGAGTCATAGAAACCAGTGGCAGTTGTGGAGAAGCTGAAGAGGCTGGTGGTGAAGAAGCTGAAGAAACTAGTGGTGAAGAAGCTGAAGAAACTAGTGGTGAAGAAGGAGAAGCTGAAGAGACTAGGGCGATGGGCATTCGTGCTAGGTCAGGCAGTTGTTACCTTGAATCCCAGGGCTTCCATTACTGGCTCTGAAAAGGCATTGAACTTTCCAGTGTTTCTTTGTCCAGAGAGTGGGAGTATTAATACTCCTTTTACATGGTTGTAGTGAAAGAGGTCATCCTACCTACCCTGATGAGGAGTGTGATTTTTAACATAGCCTTGGGTAGGTTAAAGGACAAACTGAAGGAGACAGGAATTGGGGGAAAGATGATAGGAAATAGTTCCAGGTTTTGTCATTTTGGTTCTACTTTTCCATAAGGAGACCTTGATGGAGAGAAATATTGGGAGTTGATAAATTAAATCAGTGACTGCCTACTAAGTGGAAAGCACTCTCTCAGACTGTGCTGAAATGCAGAAAGGGGTAAGTTCTGGCTCCTGCCTCTTGAGGTGTGTGTAGTCTAGTAGGAAAGACAAATATATGGATATATAACTAATTCAGAATGGGATACCAGTTGAAGTACACAGGCAGAGGTGAATTCTGATTGCAGGAATTGAGTAGGTAGCATTTCTTAGATTTGACATTTGAACTGGATCCTAAAAGGGAAAAGGATAGAACATTCTAGAAGCACAGTTGATAAAGGCGAAAAGGGAAGTCTTATTCAGAGATGGCACATAGTTCAGTAGAGCAAAAACATTGGGCACATGGAGGGACTGACGTGGGTTATAATACTGAACTTCAGGCATTGGGAAGTCATTGAAGTCAGTGAAGGTTTTTTTTTTTTTTTTTTTGGAGACAGTCTCCCTTTGTTGCCCAGGCTGGAGTGCAGTGGTGCAATCTTGGCTCACTGCAGTCTCCGCCTCCTGGGTTCAAGTGATTCTCCTGCCTCAGCCCCCTGAGTAGCTAGGGTTACAGGCCTGTGCCCCCACACCTGACTGTTTTTGTAGTTTTAGTAGAGATGAGGTTTTGCCATGTTGACCAGGCTGGTCTCAAACTCCTGACCTCAAGTGATCCACCCGCCTCAGCCTCCCAAAGTTCTGGGATTACAGGCGTGATCCACTGCGCCCGGCCCATTGAAGGTTTTTGAACAAGAAAGTGACGTGGCTGGACTCTGGTAGCATGTGTTCAGGTGGATTGGAGGGAGGCAAGAGGGAAGCAATTCAATAGGGAATAAGGGAGTGCAGAGAACAGGGCATGAACTGGGAGGCAGCTGGGTGAGAGCATCCTCTTGGGAGAAATGGCAAGGGCTTGCCATATCTTGCCCTATGCATCTCTTCCATCTGGTGCTTCCTGAGCTGTGTGTCCTTTATCATAAAGCCATACATGGAAGTAAACCATTACCCTGAGTCTTGGGAGTCACTCCAGCAAATTGAACCTGACGAGGGGTTGTGGGAACCCTGAATTATAGCTGGTCAGTCAGAAGTATGGGTCACATGAGACTTTCAACTTGGCATCTGAAGTAGGGGCAGTCATACGGGACTGACTCTCATAACTTGTGGAATCTGATACCAACTCCAGGTCGATAGCCTCAGAATTGAATTGAATTAGAGGACACCCAGCTGGTGCCTGCTGAAGATTTGCTTGGTTTGGGTTTGAGGGTGGCATTCCTCACACATCTGGTGTCAGGAGTGTGCTGTGCGAGTATAGTGCAGAGAAGCAGTGTTTTCCCAGAGGCCCTTTGATTTGGTCCAGTAGGGTTTGTAGGGGCCAAGGGAAAGCATCCTTTGCCCTCTGAAGATTCACTGAAAAATCAACTCTCAAAAGCAGATTAATAAAAGAAAAGACATACAGATTTATTAATGTGCACAGGAGTTTTACAAAGATCTCAAAGAAATAGCCAGATGGTTGATGCTTTTGTAGCATTTGAGGTTACAGAAGCAGTGGGGGCTCCGAGCATGGCCAAAAAACAGGCTATGGTGGTAAATCAGGTGGCAGTAGGTAACAAGAGGGAGAGAAGAGGAGGCCTGGCTGGCACAGGTGGTCTTGTGTAGATGAAGCCTCACAGATAGACGAAGCCTCACAGATAGCAGCCCTTCAAGAGTGTAGATGCTAAGTGTTTCTTTCAGACCTTTAAAGGCGTGTCTCAGTTCTTTCTAGATTCGGACAAGGAGGGAGGTGCTTCAGAGAAAGCCCATTGGCATCTGTTGTTTACTTCACTTTGTCTCCTCTACAGATGCAAATTCCTCCTGCAAAAGACAGCTTCTCCGTTATTCTTGCATTTCCAGTCCTTCTGAACAGTCATCTTGAAATATGACAAAGAAGTATATTTCGGGATGAAATATTTTGGTTTCTTTCAGCCAAAAGGATCCAGTTCATTGATCAGCCATTTCTCAAACTCCTGGGCTTAAATGATCCTCCTGCCTGTAATGCTGTGATTACAGGTGTGAGCCACTGCACTCAGCCACCTGATCAGCCATTTCTTAACAGGCTGTTCAGCCCTCTCCTCATTTCCCCTGCCCTTGTGACTTTGGACAATTCTTTCCTAAACACAGACATGTTTTGTCACGTTCCTGAAGTTAAAAAGTGTGAGGCCAAAGGGATGTTTATTACTGAACTGCCACAGAACTAGGAGATGTAGAATCTCAATTAGCAGATCCCTTTCCTGTGATGACAGAGACTGTAGCCATCTTGAATTTTGCACATTGAAACAGTCCTCAGACTGAAATAGTCATCCACAAGAGGCCTGATGTCATATATTCTCCGTCTGTTGCAGTCTCATGGAGTCTCAGAATTGTCAGTACAGAATCAAGTTTCTCTCTCTTTTTTTTTTTTTCGGAGACAGGATCTCGCTCTGTCTCCCAGGCTAGAGTGCAGCGGTGCGATCTCCGCTCACTGCAGCCTCAACTTCCCCTGGCTCCCATCTCAGCCTCTGGAGTAGCTGGGACTACAGGCACACACCACTATGCCTAGCTAATTTTTTTGTATTTTTTAGATACGGGATTTTGCCATGTTGCCCAGGCTGGTCTCAAACTCCTGGGCTCAACCAATCTTCCTGCCTTGGCCTCCCAAAGTGTTCGGATTACAGGCGTGAGCTCCGCTGCGTCTGACCCCAAGTTGTTCACTTCTGATTATTCTTGCGGTGCCAAAACAGAGCCTGGCCAAAATGTAGAACCCTAAATTCTGGTTGAGCGACCTGTGTTTCTGCATGCCAGGATTCTTGTGAACTCTCTTGCCCCTTTTCACCTCTTCTCTAGTTCCAGGAAACCAGATGAGATTTACTTTCCTCCATTTTAGGTATTAACATTTTTAAAGGAAAGCTCATCTGTGCTTAGAGCCAAAAGACATCAATGGCCAAATATCTGAAACAGAGAAACTCATGTGAGTTTTCTTGCCTTTGAACTTTCTTTGTGTGGTGACTTTGTGAGCCACCTTCCTTTCTAGACTGTGGGGTTTGAGATTTCCAGATGAGGTCAGATCACTGATTAAACTCGTGTGCAGCATTCGGCTTTGCTGGACCACGTGGTGCAGTCTTGCTGACCCTTTGGGCTTTGCCAGCAGAATCTGCACCTTGTGCCCTGGGCCATGTGCATCTTCCTGTGCTGTGGGATGATGGGCTCGTGCCCACCATGCATAACCGTGGAAGCTGAAGTTTGAGGCTTTTGAAATGCCTGTTCTGTTTCTCTGACTCGCTGTGGACATGACATAGCTTTCTCTCTAGTGATACCGTATCCAAGAGGGGATAAGTGCACCCACATTTTCACCTCTCATTTGATAGTGGAAGAGAACCAGCCTCTTACACCAGCTGTCTTATACCAGCGAAACCGGTTTTAATGAAGAGGGGTTCTAGGAAAAGCGTCTTTTTCCTAGGTCTGTTCCAGAATCTGTGTTATTTCAGTAATAATGAGGACAGAGTGCTTTGCATTTCCCCAGTTTTGTCCCATACACGATCTCATTTGATCCTAAGTGACCCCGTGAAGTAGGAGGTTGAGGTAGTATCAATCCTGTTTTGCAGATAAAGAGATCAAGATTCAGAGACTTGGAATGGGTTGCTTCATGAACACAGCTAGTGAGTGTAAACTTGGGAATTGAATCTGGGCTTTTTTCGGTTTCCTGATAGTGTTTTTTTTCTCCTTTAACACTATTAAGCCACTCCCAGGCCTTTCAATGTTAAGTTGTGGGATTCTATCATTAAAATGTTACTCCTGTTACTGGACGGTCCAAACATATGTATTGCTCAAGTTCTTTGTCTCCTCGAAAATGAAAATTGCTGCTTTCTTGGAGTAATTTGGTGGCAGGCAGTAGTTTACAGGATGTCTGGCTTCGCTGTTTTGAGTAGCTGCCATGGGGCAGTGCAGGAGGAATTGTGAGGTCTGTGCTGTCAGCAAGTGAGCTCCCTACAGCCCGGAGACAAAGAGACGTAGGCAGTGAGGAACCAGGCCTGAGGATCTCACCCCAGCTTCTTGAAGTTCCCAGTGTTTTGCTTAAGGTGACTTAACTCTTGGTCCCAGCTGTCAAGGAAGGGGCTTCTCGGGGGAGAGGTGGTTTGAGTTTCCTTCTAGACTCTGTGCTTCTTGGCTACGGTCTTAAGTGACTGGGACTGAGGCTTTCACAGAACAGAAATGGAGGTGTTCACTGATTGAAAACAGATCTCATTCTCGCTCTTGTATCTTGCTTCCTTTCCCTCCCAGTGGGCTACCTTGAGAATGGAGCGAGGAGCCAAGGAGAAGAACCACCAGCTTTACAAGCCCTACACCAACGGTAAGATGGGGGCGTGGTCCTTGTCCTGAGAGGTCCATTTGAACAGTGTTCCCCAGTGCTTCTGGTGCCACACACGCTCTTCCCTGCATTAGTGCAGGATGTGTGGTCTGAGTATGTCTCACGTGCTCTCCCGCAGCATGCTGCTTGACAGGGACACACTCTTTTGCAGGAATCATTGCAAAGGATCCCACTTCACTAGAAGAAGAGATCAAAGAGATTCGTCGAAGTGGCAGTAGTAAGGCTCTGGACAACACTCCAGAGTTCGAGCTCTCTGACATTTTCTACTTTTGCCGGAAAGGAATGGAGACCATTATGGACGATGAGGTGACAAAGAGATTCTCAGCAGAAGAACTGGAATCCTGGAACCTGCTGAGCAGAACCAATTATAACTTCCAGTACATCAGCCTTCGGCTCACGGTCCTGTGGGGGTTAGGAGTGCTGATTCGGTACTGCTTCCTGCTGCCGCTCAGGTGAGGCAGGGCCTGTGGGGAGTGGGGCTCGCTGCTGCCACCCCACTTGGTGCACGGCCCACCTGCCTGCTCCGCTGTGTGTTCCCGTTTTAGAAAGAAGGGAATGACTGTCCCTAGCCAGGCCATGTGACTCTTTGGAGGGGTACACTGGTGATTCTCTTTTAGAGGCCCTTGGATTTTCTGCATATCAGACAGAAATAGTTGGATTTCTTAAAGACAGCTTGCTTGTCTAGATCACAGCAAACACGGGGATAGGGAACATTGTGTGCTTTCTGCCACTCCTCCCTGGACATGGCTTATTCTTTCCTGAAGCTTGCCTCTCAGGTACAGAGGCAGTATTGATCTTTCAGCTTCTCTGCACCGTGTGCTGCTCTGAGTGTGCCTTGCCAGATGCTAATACCCTTCAAGCTCCACCTCCTGTTGCTTCAGACGGAAGCTGTGCTTCCGCCGGGGTTTTCAGCCATAGGGAAGGGGTGGGCAGCAGGGAGCAGCCCTGCGGCAGAACAGCCTGCTTAGGGTTTTCCAGCCTTCCAGCTGCCGAGGCCTCAGGAGATGCTGGCGGCTGAGAGCCAGACCCATGGCTCACTGTCAGTTGGAATCAAAATGATCTCTGGTTCTGATAGGCCTGCTCACATTTCTAGGTGAACTCTGGTCCAGATCCCAGGTGAGCAGGTCTTGGGGGTGGTTTTTGTGATGCCCAGTGTGATTTTCACACCTTCAGTTCTGTACTTGGTACAAGGATTTGCTGGCTGTGCTCTAACTTTTCTTCTTCTTACAGGATAGCGCTGGCTTTCACAGGAATTAGCCTTCTGGTGATGGGCACAACTGTGGTGGGATACTTGCCAAATGGGAGGTGAGTAGAATGTGGCAGTCCACGCCTAAAGGGCAGTTAGTTCTGGGAATGGTGCTCAGATATCGAAGGCCAGGCCCCTTCTTTGGACACAACCAAAGCCATGGAATCTTAGATGGATTAAATAACCCAGTGGTGGCCAGGTGTGGTGGCTCATGCCTGTAATCCCAGCACTTTGGGAGGCTGAGGTGGGCCGATCACCTGAGGTCAGGAGTTCGAGACCAGCCTGGCCAGCATGGCGAAACCCTGTCTCTACTAAAAATACAAAAATTAGCCAGATATGGTGGCGGCTGCCTGTAATCCCAGCTACTTGGGAAGCTGAGGCAGGAGAATCCTTGAATCCGGTAGGCAGAGGTTGCAGTGAGCCAACACCACACCACTGCACTCCAGCCTCGGTGACAGAGCGAGACTCTGTTTCTAATAATAATAATAATCATCATCATCATAACAACAACAACCCAATGGTAACAATGGCATCAGCAGTAAAGTCTTTACTTTTTTTTATTTTGATCTATGACTGTGCTTTTTGTCCTTTAGCCCTCGCGTTCTTCCCATTTTAAAGACAAAAGGGAGAAGCCACAAACATGTAGAGTCCGAGACTCAGATGTTAACAGATTTTACAGCTGCTTGTTTAGTTTTGAGCAGTTGACTGTGTGCATAAAGTGGTGAGACAATACAGTTTTTAAAATGATACGAGATGTAGGGAGGTTTTGTCTGTTTGTGAAGAATATTTTGCTCCCTTCAGGAAATTCTGGGGCTTGGAAACCTTTCTTCTACCTGGGCGGGTGAGGAGGTTGGCCTCTGGCCTTGGGCCTGCCACTGGGTGTTGACTGGGGGAACAGAATTCAGCCCGCCTGTGGTCTGCCGATGCCGAATTCTAGGCTGTGAATTCTCCACCCACTGATTTGGGTGGATGTAAGCGAGTCTTCCTGTCCCCTCTTTCTTTCCTCATGTGTGAACATAAAGGTGGTCATGCATCACAGGGCTTTCCTGTACGTGCTCATGTCTATAAAAGCACTTTGCAGTCATAAAGGACTGCTGAACTGTTCAAGTCAGCAACTGTTTCTGTCTTCCTGTATGTAAAATAAAACCCAGAATCCTTGTCCTGTTGTTGCAGGTTTAAGGAGTTCATGAGTAAACATGTTCACTTAATGTGTTACCGGATCTGCGTGCGAGCACTGACAGCCATCATCACCTACCATGACAGGTGAGAGTGCTTTGTATCAATAGGAAGGGAAATGGCACTGCAGGAAACACCACCCACCTATACTTGGCCAAATGGGAAGACACTTCCGAGCTTTTAGTTAGAGCAGATGAAGCGTGTGAGGTGAGAGGTGTGTTACATGAACTGTTTCACACTAATTTTGGTTGTTTTGCATACATTTAAACCCAGGGAAAACAGACCAAGAAATGGTGGCATCTGTGTGGCCAATCATACCTCACCGATCGATGTGATCATCTTGGCCAGCGATGGCTATTATGCCATGGTAAGAGCTCTTTCCGGTGCATTCTTGAGGCAAGACTTCCTGCTTTAGACTGGTCAGGGCCAGGAGGGTCTAGGAGGGTCTAGGAGGCTCCTGGACCCTTCACATAAACACTTTTATGCATGGGCCACCGCCTTACTGTCACTGTGGGGGCTCTGTGGGACTGTGATAGGAGATACCCTGGGTAGAATGAGTGGTGAATGTGGTTGGAGAGGATGCTGAGGGCGGTCAGGCAGACCAGCATGGGGAGAGGGAGGAGCTGGCAAGGACTGTGTCCAGAGCATCTGAGAATCTGCCCAGGGAGGGGCAGTTTTACACAGGGATTTGCACTACTTTAGTGTTTTGTCTTAGGGGTTTCAGTTATGTTTTTAATTACCTATTTCTAGTATTACTGATTAAAAGGAGAAGTTTAAGATTTGGGGAGTCTTGGTAGTGGTTTCTTGGCAGTGAGCAACCTCCAGCCAGCAAGTGTTAGAGGTAAGAGGTTGGACCAGCAAGCGTTAGAGGTGAGAGGTTGGATTGCTTATTTTGTGAGATCTAGGGCTTCCTAGAGTGGGGAGATTTGTGTGAGGATGGCTTCACTACTAATGGGTCCTGTGCCTGCGTTTAGGTGGGTCAAGTGCACGGGGGACTCATGGGTGTGATTCAGAGAGCCATGGTGAAGGCCTGCCCACACGTCTGGTTTGAGCGCTCGGAAGTGAAGGATCGCCACCTGGTGGCTAAGAGGTAATGGACAGAACACTGCTGTTCTGCTTGGCCGGTTAGAATGCTGAAAAGGTTTCAGGGAGTTATCCCTCCACAGTGTAGTTATGTGCCTTCTATCATAAGTCTATACTGCTTTCATAATAATCTTTTCCTAAAACATGATATTTTAAAAGTGGCCGGGTGTGGTGGCTTATGCCTGTAATCCCAGCACTGTGGGAGGCCGAGGTGGGCAGATCACTTGAGGTCAGGAGTTCGAGACTAGCCTGACCAACATGGTAAAAATACAAAATACTAAAAATACAAAAATTAGCTGAGTGTGGTAACGGGCATCTGTAATCCCAGCTACTAGGGAGACTGAGGCAGGAGGATCTCTTGAACCAGGGAGGCAGAGGTTGCAGTGAGCTGAGATCGTGCCATTGCACTCCAGCCAGGGTGACAGAGTGAGACTCTGTCTTAAAATTTAAAAAAAGTATAGAAACCCTAGTATTATTTACCAAGTTAATAATGTTTCTTAACCTTTTTTTATTCATTGTACCCATCATAATAAAATACGAACTTTCACTGCTATTTGAAACCTCAAAATGAATTCATTTATCACAAATAAAAAGAAACCTAGGGCAGTGGAACAAAGTACTGCTCTGTTTTCAAACTTTAAGAAGGTGGATCTGGTGTAAGTAATGCAAAGAGATTTGCAGCAGAAAGAGACATCAAGACAGTTGAGACCAAGCCACACATGGTGGCTCGGGCCTATAATCCCAGTGCTTTGAGAGCCCGGGAGTTCAAGACCAGCCTGAGCAACATAGGGAGAGCTCATCTCTACAAAAAATTTAAAATTAGCCAAGCATGGTGGTACGCTCCTGTAGTCCCAGCTACTTGGGAGGCTGACGTAGGAGGATCGCTTGAGCCAGGAAGGGTGAGACTGCAGTGAGTTGTGATTGCACCACTGTATTCCAGCCTGGGCAACACAGGGATACCCTGTCTCAAAAAATAACAAATAAGAAAAGACAGTTGAGATTATCTTCCATAGAGACAGATGAACCCTCTCCTAACTCCCTTTGCTACATCTCAGGGACAGAGCGTTGAGCCAGCAGGGCTGGGCCCAGCCTCACAACTGTTACACAGTCTAGTGCCACAGGTTTATTGAGGGGGCCATGCCCAGGCCTTGTGGCAGGCATCTCCTTCAAGTGGCCCCCAGGTTGAGTGGCATCGTTGGTGCTCTGATGTTCACACAGAATTGAACAGTTCTGTAACCTGATTTTCTCTATCCATATACATTTTTTCTTGATGAGCATTAAATTATGGGTTTAAAAGGATACGGTCATGCTTGTTAACTTCTTATAATTGAAACTAGTGTCACAAATAAATAAGTTATTTATAAACGTATTTTGACAATGATGTGTATAAGGTTGTCTGATCCTTCATTTTATTTTCCTCTTTGAAAGACTGACTGAACATGTGCAAGATAAAAGCAAGCTGCCTATCCTCATCTTCCCAGAAGGTAAGAAGGGGTTGGTTGCCATAAAGCGCTTCTGTGAGGAGTGCAAGAGTGTGATGCTGATGTTTCGTGGGAACCAAGGCCCTCAGCCCTTGTTGGGGTTATCTGTTTTCACTGAATAATGTTAGGTCCCCTTTAGATTGGAAATAGGACTAAAACCTCAGGCAAGTTCAGAATTTGAACTAAGAATGCCATAGTGTAAACTCCCCAAATGCAGGAATTTCTTCTGTAATGTTTCAGCTCCTCGTGGAGCTTGTGGAGTCCTCCTAAGACCACTGTGCATCTCTGCTTTATCCAGGCTGTGTGCGTGAATCAGGGGAAGTGGTCCTGTAGCAGGAGAATTGGAGGCACCATCTTGCCTGTCTCGTTAAGTGTTTGTTTTTAAGTTAGGGAGATGACAGATGTATCTTATTGGAGGAACGATTAGAAGAATTTTGACTATTGTGCTTAGTCTTTAAGAAACACCTAATATCTGGGGTAAAGGGCCAACAGAAATAGCATTTTATTGTCTCCTGCATTTTAGGAACCTGCATCAATAATACATCGGTGATGATGTTCAAAAAGGGAAGTTTTGAAATTGGAGCCACAGTTTACCCTGTTGCTATCAAGGTACAAGACCTCCGATGGTACACAGTGTCATTATTGGAGCTGCTGTGAGTGGAGCGCAGCAGGAGGAGGTGGAGGAAGGAGCCGGGGTCACCAGTCTGTGGTTGATGCCCTCAGCAGAGTGACATGGGACTGGGCTGATGTGGGTCAAGTGCTGCCAGAGGAGGATGCTGAGCACTCAGCACCCCCTTAGAAGGGCCTGGGGAGTGTGGGATGGGGGACAGCCAGATTCCTGCCTGCATGCTGCTGCCGCCACTATTCAGGAAATGGCAAGCCCTTCACTTCTTACCTTCTTAAACCTAGCTGGAATGTAGGCCCCTCCACCTGGAAAGGTGACTGATTGCAGGGCACAGAGGTGTAGTTTCAAGCTGGATTTTTGCATTTTGGGGGAGCTGTGAGAATGGGGGGGTCCTTATTCCAGCGCAGTGGGAGAAACGGCTTCACTGCTTTTAGTCGTGTCATCTTTTAGACCTACAGCAGCTCCTAACAATGAGATGGACCCTGGGAGTTTATCTAATCTACGTCAACGCTTTAGGAACTGCTGCTCTAACCCTTCAGACACCCAGAGCTATAGGATGTGATTAGCCAGTCATCTGCACTTTGTTCCTCCCTGCTCTTACCCTCTCCACATCCACGAGGCCTCACATCATGACACCTACAAAACACAGGCCATCCTCAGTGTGGTTAAAGTATTTAGACTGCAGCCTGAGAGCTCGGTAAAATGGTGAGCAGATATGAGTCAGGCTCACGCTTAGATTTCTTTTATAGGGGACTGTGGGTTGTCTGCAGAACATTCTGTAGAGTTGGTTCTGACTTTCTTTTCACCTTGCCAGTGCCACTGGAGAGGTGTTGTTCCTGGTGAGACAGATGCTTACCAGCCACTCACTGTTCATCATTTAGGCAGAGGACCAGGCCAGGGATGGCAGATGAATATTGCCTGCAGGGGACTCTGATTGACAGGTTAGGACTCACCAGAGCCTGAGGATGCAGTGTCTGGGTATAGCAAGAAAGAGGAACATAGTCTGGTAGCAGAGTCTGCCTTGGGTGTGGGAGTGGGGAGTGGCATCTGTATCCTATATTCTGGCAAAACGAGGACAGGTGCTTTGCAGTGTGACCGTGAAGCTGCTGAATGGAAGCCCTTACTGCTCCCTCCAGAACAGTGGCTCTTGAACTTAGGCTGCATTAGCATTGCCTGGAGGGATTGTTAAAATGCAGATTGCTGGGCCCCACACCCGGGGTTTCTGAACTTCCCGTTCTTTTTCTTTTGAGGCAGGGTCTCAGTCTGTCACCCAGGCTGGAGTGCAGTGGCACAATCATGACTCACTGCAACCTCGACCTCCCACATTCAGATGATTCTCGTGTCTCAGCCTCCCAAGTAGCTGGGATTATAGGTGCACGCCACCACACCCAGCTAATTTTTTAATTTTTGTAGAGACGGAGTTTCACCCCAGACTGGTCTAGAACTCCTGGGCTCAAGTGATCTGCCTGCCTTGGCCTCTCAAAGTGCTGGGATTACAGGCCTGAGCCACCCCTCTGGGTCTTCTGAATTTCTATTCTAACATGTTCTGGGTGGCACTGATGGTGCCTGTTGGGACCACACTGTGGCAGCCACAGTTCTGAAGCAGTGCTCTTAGCTGCTGTTGAAACACGAACCCTGAGGAGTTTCCGTTCCTCTCCAAAGTAAAATGCTTATAAATTTTAGATACATTTCCATTCAGTCCACAGGGTAGAGCCCATGTATGGCTAAGAACATCTGGTCTACAGATTACTGGTTTTTGTGAACCCTTTATTGGTAACCAAACTTGGATAACCTTAGTGATTTCCAGGCTCTTCTTATATTCCGCCATGACCTGATGTGAGGAGTGTGTCACTGTGTTGAGCTTCTGCCTTGTTTCTCTGTCCACACACACTGCCCAGTGTGGAATAGAGAATCAGCCCGAAACAAAGGGTTCTCACACTCTTGTGACATCAGAATTTCTGTCCATATCAGGCTTTATGAAATGTAACGACATGACCAGGTGCGGTGGTTCATGCACGTAATCCCAGCACTTTCGGAGGCTGAGGCAGGTGGATCACTTAAGGCCAGGAGTTTGAGACAAGCCTGGCCAATATGGTGAAACCCCGTCTCTACTAAAAATACAAAAAAATTAGCCGGGCGTAGTGGCAGGCGCCTGTAGCCCCAGCTACTCAGGAGGCTGAGGCAGGAGAATGGCATAAATCCAAGAGGCGGAGCTTGCAGTGAGCCGAGATAGCGCCACTGCACTCCAGCCTGGGCGACAGTGCGAGACTCTTAGCTCAAAAAAATATATATATAATAATAATTAAAAATAAAAATAAAAAAATTCTTTCTGATCATACACATTAGCTTAGTTTTAAAAACTTATTATTTTCCCTTGTTTCTGTTGGTATTATAATAACTCATTAAGCCTTCTGTGGTTAAATCTAAATTTCTTAGCTTCTATAATTAAGCCTAAATTACCTTCATTTTTGTAGTTAGGGCCACAGTCTTGTCAAAATTATCCAATTTTTATACTGTGGATCATAAAAGTTAGGCTGGAAAGGCCTAAAAGATCATAGAGTTCAACCCCACCCCAGCCCATGCTCACATGCAGGACCCTGCCCTGGGCTTCTTCTCAGGCTTTCCCAGGAAAAGGGCATTTTTGATGTTGTTGGCAGCATGGCCTTGTGGCATAACTCTTGAAATTCTGGCTCCTTTATTTTTCCACTCTGGTCCTGGGTGTTTGCACAAGGTCAGCCTACTGCCTTGTGTACAGGATCCCTTCAGACATTTGCTAGCAGCACCAGGCACTTTGTCCAGGCGTTCTCAAGCGCCCAGGTCCTCCTGTTGCTCCTTGCGCAACTTCCTCCGGAGCTTACCCACCCTGATCACCTGCCCCTCCAGCTGCTGGTTTGGTGAGAATGTGGGTCACAGCTGCAGCCACATTTTCCGCAAAACGCCACTGAAGTGCTGCCTTTTGCCTCCATTAGAGCCACTGGCAAATGAAAGGATCTGATACCTGCTTCATGGTAGAAGCAGCCTATGTGGTTGAGACTTCCCGGGGCTGTCAGCGTGAGCACAGAGCGGTGTCCTGAACAGATGACTGACTTTGTTGAAAGTGTAAATGCAAAAGCTTTCTAATAGTTTCCTCCCTGGTCTGGGCACCAGAAATCATATTTAAAACTTGGTGTTTGTGTAAGAAAATATCTTTATTTGGGGGAGGTACACTAGATGAATGACAGGATGCTGGGAGGGGAGAGATGGAGCAAGTGGGAAACGTTGGCGGTGGTTGAATCAGGGAATGGGTACATGGGAGTGCATGATCCTTTTCTCCCTGGTTTTGAAGATGTTTGAAAACTTTATATACCTATGAGTAAGACCTGAAAGTAACCAAAGAGGGAGACATTTGCTTGAGGCAGGCTGTCAGGGGAGCCTTCCTTACTGATCTGCAGCAGAGGCCAGGTCCCTCGGGGGAGAGCAGTGTTGCTCGCAGTCAGAACCGGCCACATGGAGAGGGGCTTCCGCAGTACTCATGCAGGGTCAGGGAGCAGCGCCCCAGTACCAGCACGGCCCAGTGGAGTCACTCAGCGCAATCGCTGTGGACTCGCACACGTGAGAACTACTCACATCTTACCTTCAGCTTTCCATTGTTTTCAGTATGACCCTCAATTCGGCGATGCCTTCTGGAACAGCAGCAAGTATGGGATGGTGACGTACCTGCTGCGAATGATGACCAGCTGGGCCATTGTCTGCAGTGTGTGGTACCTGCCTCCCATGACTAGAGAGGTGAGTGCCTGCCCCAGACAGATCTGCACCTGCTCTGTGTAACGTCAAGCCGGAGCTGAGTGGTCTCATTTGTTCTTTCTTACAGGCAGATGAAGATGCTGTCCAGTTTGCGAATAGGGTGAAATCTGCCATTGCCAGGCAGGGAGGACTGGTGGACCTGCTGTGGTAAGTTTAGAGCCAGGCCTTATCAGCTGAGTTCCTGCAGCAGATGCTGTGTCATTGACTTCACTTACATGTCATTCCCCCTGCTGTGGAGAATTCAACTTGTCAGCTCTAGAGAGAGCAGTTTGACTCTCCCTGAATTCCAACCCAGAAGTGCCCTGTGCTTCCTTGACCTTGGGGAACCTGGATCAGGGACACCTGGACTGAAGCAGTTGATTCTGTGTACCTTTCTGGGGTTTGAACCCGTCTTCCAGGACACCTGGACAGTGTCCTTCTCTGGGTGGGCATGACCTGCTACTGATCCGAAAACCTCAAGAAGGCAGGGTGACTTTCCCTGGTCCCAGTGTATCTGGCAAAATTGAACCATCCTTAGAAAGGCAAAGGTTGTGTTTGTTGTATTCAGCTTATTACCTAATAGAGCAGGATTGACATACTTTTTCTGTAGTCAGTAAATATTTTAGGGTTTGCAGGCCATATGGTGTCTGTTGGAGCTACTGATCTCTGCCATTGTAGTGTGAAAACAGATAGTCTATAAACCAATGAGCATGGCTGTGTTCCAATAAAACTTTATTTACAAAAACAGGTATCAGCTGGATGTGGCCCATGGGCTGCATTTGACCAGCCCTTATACTAGAGTATAAGATAGTTTTATCCCAAACAGTAGGAGAGTGACCAGAGGTGAATGCTGGTTCAGAGAAACTTTTCCACTCTGTGGGTCACTTAGGTTTAAGAGCCAAGGGTCAACTGGGGAGAGCATTTGACTTAGATGGGCATTATCTATGAGAAAAGAAAGGGTAGAAATTCACATTGTAAACCCAACGGTATAGTCTCAGGGATTAGATTGGCTCTCAGATCATGGCCTTTTAAAAAATGCTAGCGTGGATTGTGCACTCACTGTGTGCCAGCCACCGAGCTTCTGGGGCCCTGTGTGATCATCTCTTTCACCCTCACAGTAGCTGCAGCCCTGTAAACAGTGTTCCCATTTTACAGATGAGAAACTGATACTCAGGTTAAATCACTTTTTTCCAAAGTCATAACATTAGCACTGGAGCTAGATTTTGCATCCACATCTAACAGACTTTTAGAGCTTCAAGGTTTAACTTCTGCCCCATCTTCCCATCTCTAAGAAAGACAGAGTGGCTGCTTTTAAAAACCATGCCTTTGCTATGGATTTTAAAGGGTGTAGTGGAGAGACTGAAAGCGGGCTTGGATTTTTATAAGTTGTTGAAGGTGGTGATAATTCTAGAGTGTAGGCACAGAGGGGACCAGCAGGCAAGAGGGAATGGGACTGTAACGAAACAACCCCAAGTCTGGTGGGTTGGTTTGGGGCTGCTGCAGGGAGGCACTGGGGCAGTGAGGTTGGGACTCTGAGAGGCAGCCCCAGAGATAAACCTCCATTCCTGACGGCACTCTTTTTTGAGCATGAAAGAAGTCAGAACGCGCGTTACCCCTTGTGTTAGCTCTCTGCATGAATTCGGAGTATCCCTGGGTCTGAATTAAACAAATGACATTTTACAGATCGATATTACAGATATGTTATGAGTCGATATTTTGGAAGCATGTCTACCTTCCGTAATGCCAGAATTCCTCCTTTTCCTTTGTGAGGTGAAGATGAATGTTAGAGTAGAAAGAATTGTAAACTCCTTGGTAGGTTTAAGCAGTTACCAAGTACTTTCAATGTGAGTAGTAAATTCTTACTCCAGGGCAAGAGTGGACCTTCTGAGATAGAAAGGGTGAATATTGGGAGCCCAGAGCCCCAGATCCCCTGAGGTTGTCTTGGTGAGAGTGCCACGGGGTACCCTGTTTCTGGCAGGTTTTTCTTGGTATTTGGGCAGCACGGTGCATCTCCCATGGTGTGAGGGTGCCTGGGAATCCTCTTGGCTGTTACTACATCCAGCCTTTGTCTCTCCAGGGATGGGGGCCTGAAGAGGGAGAAGGTGAAGGACACGTTCAAGGAGGAGCAGCAGAAGCTGTACAGCAAGATGATCGTGGGGAACCACGAGGACAGGAGCCGCTCCTGAGCCTGCCTCCAGCTGGCTGGGGCCACCGTGCGGAGTGCCGACGGGCTCGGAGCTGGAGTTGCCGCCGCGGCCCCCACTGCTGTGTCCTTTCCAGACTCCAGGGCTCCCCGGGCTGCTCTGCATCCCAGGACTCCGGCTTTCGCCGAGCCACAGCGGGATCCCTGTGCACCCGGCGCAGCCTGCCCTTGGTGGTCTGAACGGATGCTGCTGGGTGTCACGACCCAGGACGAGATGCCTTGTTTCTTTTACAATAAGTCGTTGGAGGAATGCCATTAAAGTGAACTCCCCACCTGTGCACGCTGTGCGGGCTGAGCGGTTGGGGAGATGTGGCCATGTTCTTGTGCTAGGGATGGCGGGACAAGAGTCTGTTATGCAAGCCCGTGTGCCAGGGATGTGCTGGGGGTGGCCACCCGCTCTCCAGGAAAGGCACAGCTGAGGCACTGTGGCTGGCTTCGGCCTCAACATTGCCCCCAGCCCTGGAGCTCTGCAGACATGATAGAAAGGAAACTGTCATCTGCAGGGGCTTTCAGCAGAATGAAGGGTTAGATTTTTATGCTGCTGCTGATGGGGTCACCAAAGGAAGGGGAAGAGGCCAGGTGGGCCGCTGACTGGGCCGTGGGGAGAACATGTGTTCATACTCCAGGCTAACCCTGAACTCCCCATGTGATGCGCGCTCTGTTGAATGTGTGTCTCAGTTTCCCCATCTGTAACCTGAGTCGGGGGGAAGCGTGGTGATTCCTACCTCACAGGGCTGTTGTGGGGATTAAAGTGCTGCGGGTGAGTGAAGGACACGTCACGTTCAGTGTTTCAAGTACAGGCCCACAAAACGGGGCAGGGCAGGCCTGAGCTCAGAGCTGCTGCCCTGGGCTTTGGATTTGTTCTTGTGAGTAAATAAAACTGGCTGGTGAATGAACTGGGGGACTTCTCCCTTTACTTTCTCCCCTGGCTGTGGCCCTGAGTAGTGGGCTTCTCGTGAGAATTCCCGTTCTCTTCTGGGAGCACGGCCCTGGGGCTGCGGAGAAGCTGCCTGACTGCTGGAGCGAGGAAGCCTACAGCTGAGAAGGTGAACGTGTTCGTCTCAGATGCTTGCAGATCTTTGGGTAATTTAGAATTTCCAGCACAGACGTGAATTTCTCCAGAGATTGGGGGTACACGGGGTGCTGATGTGAGGCCTAGGAGAAGCAATGAGTAAACTCCAGGGCGGGGGAGGAGCAGGGGCCCCGGGAGGGCTGCAGAGGGGCAGGGTGGGCAGGGCGTGTGCTGCATGGTGGCTTCCACACAGCCAGAGCAGGCACCACAGGGAAAAGACTCGGCCACTGGTGCCTGCTGTACAGTCACAGTGGAGGCAGAGCCAAGGCCAAACAGCCCCTCTGGGTTCTGGGGTTTCACCAATTTCATGCCCCTCAGCCCCCTATTCATGTGCCACTAGCCCTCACTTGGGACCCACGCTCCCTTGTGGCACAGTCATGACGCCTCTCAGGATTTGGTGCCAGTGGTGCCAAGTGTCGTGTCCCTAAGGTTGCCCTCTGTCCTGCGGTTCAGGGAGGAGTGGGAGTGAAGCCGTGTTCGTGGGGCTGCAGATGGATCCACTTTGTCATGTGGGGACCTACTGGGTTGGCCCTGCAGTCTCCCTTTCTCTGCACCTACCTGTGACCTCCCCGGGAAAGCCTCCCATTTCCTCACCTACCCTGTTGCCAGCCCAGGGGAAATCCTCTTTTTGCTCTGAAATGAAGACTGAAAAAATAAATAAAGTCAGTGTTATGACTAATAACAGTCTCTTAGGAACTGTTTTACAGAATGCTTAAGAATAAAAAGTGATTTTCAGCTTTTATAGGTGATGTTTACAGTGTTTGTAAACTAACTGGAGGGATCAGTAGTTGGTCTTAAAGATCAGGTTCTCTTTTAAAAGGTTCATCTGAAACTATGATTTGTTACTTTCGTGATTTGCTTAGGTATTTATGTATACACACACAGGTTTTGCTTTTGTTTGTCTCACATTCAGCACAGCTGTCTGCAGCCCCTGCAGGCAGGTATGGCCACACCTGGTGTGAAGTCACGTGGAGTCAGCGCTGTGGAGGGAAGTCCTGTGCGGGACAGGCAGTGAGGAGAGGACTGACTCTCAACGCCTGCAGAAACAAAACCTCCCCTTTCTGTGCATGCCTTCTATCATCATCCAGGCGACTGCTCCATCCTTTTAAATTAGGGGTCCTGCAGGCCCCAAGTGACCCATAGAGTATCTGGTTTGAGATGACTTGAGTTGGTCTTACGGGACAAAACCTCAAGACACTTAGAAATATACAAAGTACAAAATAATGTGTTCCCTCCTGTTACCCCAGTGAGGGTGGGGCTGAGCTGGGAATGACACCCAGTAGTGTAATGAGTGCAACAAGTGCTGGCCAGCTGCTAACCCCCCTCCAAGCCTGCTGCATCTTCACTTCTCTGCATCTGTCTCCTGAGTCTTAACTAGGGACTTGGCTAGATGACCTCAGAGACACCGTCCACATCTGAATTTTCTATTTTGAAGCCCATAGTTCAAACTTTGGTTTTGATCTCTGAAGTCTTCTGGGTTTGGAAATATGGGAGGTCAGCTCTGAATCCATTGCTTCTCTAAAACATCGGGGCTAGAGGAACTAACCCACTTGAGGGTGACCTCAAGGGCTTTAGGCAGCCGTGGGGCTGGTGCCACACTGCTCTCAGGCTGGGCAGTGTCCTTTGTGGATCTCGGACAGCCTTTTTTACTCAAACATGAGACCTTCCACCCACCAGTTAGAAAGGGAACTTTTTTTTTTTTCCAACACGGAGTTTCACTCTTGTTGCCCATGCTGGAGTGCAATGGCACAATCTCAGTTCACTGCAACCTCCACCATCAAGTGATTCTTATGCCTCAGCCTCCAAGTAGCTGAGATTACGGGCATGCACCAGCACACCCAGCTAATTTGTTGTATTTAGTAGACTGGGTTTCACCGTGTTGGTCAGGCTGGTCTCAAACTCCTGATCTCAGGTGATTCTCCTCAGTCTCCCAAAGTTCTGGGATTACAGGCATGAGCCACCGCACCCAGCCAAGAGGGAATTTTTTAATAAAGCTAGTGGGATTCCCTTGACAGCAGAACCAGCTTTGGGACTTGATGCTTCACTGTGTCAGAATCCAGTCCCTGCTGCTGCCTTTCAGAGATAGAAGAGGCTTGATGTGTGAGGGGTCAGGGGAGTGCTCCAGATCCCTGAATGTCCATCCCAGACCAGTGACAGGCACTTTTGGGCACCATCGTGTGTCCTTCACGGCAGAACAAGCAGTGGGCACTAACCCTGTTGTCCTGTGGAAATCTGGGTGTCTGAATCCTGCCGTTTCCTTCCTGGAATTGGCCAGAAACTTGATTGTCTGGGCTAGTGCTTGCTGCTGTCCCCTGATGCATGAAGGATCCCCCCGTGTCATAGGTCCCACCCGCCTGCTGTGCATCCCGGGTGGCCAGACTTGGCTTCTCCAGGTGCACTTGTCCTGGGTGGCCCAGCCCGTGGGCTGGAAGGGCAGCTGCAGGCGCACTGCCTCGCAGACAGGTTAAGAGACGGGCACGCGGCCATCCGTCTTCTACAGCACACACACCCCGCTCCCCCCCCAGTCAATATGTCTCTCTCCGATGGGAAAGTTAATAAATTTTGCTCTAGATTAAAAGTATTGATCATTTCATTTGTAAACGATAAATAAAAAGGGGGAACTTTTCATTGCGCCGGGGGTGGCGCCTGGCGTGTGTTGTGGGGGTGATTGCACTGGCTGCCGGGGGATGGGCTTCTCATATGCATTCTGGCCGGCCAGCTGCATTGATTTCCTATTAGTCTCCCAGCACCACCCAGTAACACATCATTTCAGTACCTGCTATTAATGGTCTTTTGATAAATAATCACTTGTAAGTCAATAAATTTTTATTAAACAGTGTGGCTCTTTGATTTATTAAAATCCGACCGTGTTTGTCTGGGAGAAAAGGGATGCCGAATTGAAGTGGAGGTTTTCATACATCTTCCTGACGCAGAGCAGTCACCACACACTCCAGAGAAAAACAATTGCATTTTAACAGAAACAAAACGGCCGAGTTTGGAACTTGGGCCCAGGGAAACTTTATCTCCGTCAGCCTGAGGCTTACTCTGCAGGGATCAGCTGCAGGCCGGAGGGCGCCGAGTTGAGAACTTTGTGTTGGTCTCCAAGAGTGCCCAGGTGCCAGGGCTGGATGCCCCTGCTGGGCTGCATTCTGGGGTGGCACCTACCGGCCCTCTCCCAGCTGGGGATGCACCCTGGGGCAGGCACCCTTGGCCAGCAGACATCTGGCATCAACAAGAGAAGCTCGTATGGCAGGACCCTTTAGCTTCCTTCCTGGCCAAATTGCCACCAGAGTCACCTGTGGCAGGAAGATGTGCCAGGAGACAGTCTTTTGCAGCGATCAGGCTGTGTGGATTATTTTTTTAAGTGTGGGCCAATAGCTGAAGACTGGAAATGCCATTTTGTGAGATTTTCATTGGCATAGAGTTTGCTGTAAAGAGTTTGGCACTTTTCATCGAGACGAATATGGCCCCAAACAGATGGTCTCACATAGAGTAACCCAACCACTGACGATGCAACCAGAATTCTCACCCAGGGGGAAGTTGTAGGAAAGGGAAAACACTTTCTATTCTCGTGTTTCTAATAAACGTTTTTATTAAAGCGAATAGTTGGAACACCTTCTTGACCCTCCCTCGTTCAGGCTGCTGCTGCGGACTTCCTTCCCATTCATGCTTAGTGGAGCGGATGGGAACACAAGGGCTTTTGACAACAGGACTCTCAGTAAGAAGTGAGGCTGCGGGCCTTCTCTGGGATTGTTAGGATTTCCTTTTCTCTTCTGGTCTCAGGGGACCTTGAAGGTGGTTAGGAAACTGGACGGCAGAAGACAGGTCTGAGTGTCCCGCAGAGCAGGCGAATGCTAATAGAGTGATTTTCAGGAGTGTGGTCCAGGCTGTGCCCATGTGCAAGAGGCTGGTCAAGGACCTAGTTTCTCTTCCAAAGACTTCCAGCCCTGCCCCCAGGAATGTGCCAGGCTGGCCAGTGAAGCCGGGGGACACCATGGATGTGGATTCCCAGCGCACCTTGCATGTTAACACGTACAGACTTCAAGTCCACTTTCGGGGTTAAGCAGGACACTTCTGAAACGTTTCAGTGAGGGCTTCAGTGCGCTGGCTCTCCGACACCTCACTTCCCGTGCCCACACCCATCCCACTGCACTGTTAGGAGCACTTTGCTGGGGAGGCTAAAGAATGATCTCAGGCTTTCTCGTACTCCGTGAGGTTACTGCCTATGCAGGAGTCAAATACATTAAACTGGGAAAGGAATGGCTCTTGCTTGGCAGCTGCCATTACAGTTGCTGATGGGGGCCAGAGGAGTGAGGTTGGCTAAAGATGGGATAAGGGGATTTGGGCCATCACCCGGCAGGTACCTGCACCACCTGTTGATGTCACCAGCGGGAAGCCACAGCAAGGCGGATGTCAGGAGGCTCTGTCTCCCTCGAGAGCAAAAGAGGAGACCTGGTAATTCCAAGAGTAGCCATGACTGCACTCCCTTCCCTTGAACCCACGGGTCCCAAAATGCATTTATTGGTTGTTGTTTGTTTGTTTGTTTGTTTTTGAGACAGAGTCTTGCTCTGTTGCCCAAGCTGAGTGCAGTGGCATGATCTCGACTCACTGCAACCTCTGCCTCCCAGGTTCAAGTGATTCTCCTGCCTCATCCTCCCGCGTAGCTGGGATTACAGGCACGTGCCATCGTGCCCCGCTAATTTTTGTAGTTTTTAGAAGAGACAGGGCTTCACCATGTTTGTCAGGCTGGTCTTGAACTCCTGACCACAGGTGATCCACCCGCCTCAGCCTCCCAAAGTGCTGGGATTACAGGCATGAGCCACT